TAAAACTGTGAGGCAAAATAAACCACTCATCATTTAAGTTGTGGTTTTTGGGTATTTTGTTCCATCCACAGGTAAACTAGCTAATAAAGTATTAGAATTCAATATGCTTTTTAAATATCAGAAAAAAACTACTAATACCAAGACACATATGAAAAAGCAAAAATCAATCAGAAAAAGTAAATAATAAAATTTAATTTAGCATCTCAAACAGAAGAATTCAGAATGGAAATAATTATACTAGGAAATTGCTACATAATTTAGTTATTACAGTTTGAAATGTCTTTTATTTCAATAGAGCCATGAAAAAGTTCAATGTGTGAATACTCTTTTAAAAATCAAGTCTTAACTTTTTCTCTAATGAATCATACTTTTTATTATATTAACAAGACATTTTTACATGAGTTTAACAATGTACCTGATATAGAGCAAAATTTGAAAATTTCCAAAGTAAAACTTAGTAATTCTAATATTTTACCTAATACTTTAAATATTCTGCTCTCCCAATTTTTAAGCAAAAATCTGTTTCCAACACTTATAAAGTAACATATCCTACTAACAAATTAATGTGTTTTAAAGTGAGAATAATGCATTATTATAACACTATTGTAAGAAACTATAAATCCTAGAAAAAAACTATTATGTTTTTAATTTAAAATATGCTGAATTAAGCCACACATTATGCTGAAGATTATATTTCTTTTTTGTAGTAATATTAAAACGTAATAAAATAACTAATGTAATTTAAAAAATTAATGTCCCTTCAAAATAAGAAAGGTTAATTTTAAATTAAATGTAATTCATTTTAAAACAAATATTTTCACATACATTCTCTACTGGAATTCTATCTAAATAGGAAAACTCAATTAGAAATTAACTGAAATGAAGTTTTATAAAAACATCATTTTCAATAGTGTTTAATAACTTAAATACTGCAAATAAATTTTCTAGTTTGTCAATTCTTTTTTTTTTTTTTTTTTTTTGTCTTTTTGAGACAGGGTCTCCCTGTGCAGTTCAGGCTGGTCTTGAGCTCACTTTGTAGCCCAGGCCGGCCTTGATGCTCACTTTGTAGCCCAGGCTGGCCTTGCAATGATCCTCCTGACTCAGCCTCCCAAGAGCTGGGATTACAGGTATGCGCCACCACACCAGAAAATGCTGTCATTTCTAAATGTAGAATATCAAGACACATAAATGAAATTTAAAAATACTCTAAAAATCCAAAGGCCCGTGAGGTCCTTCCTGATTAAATTGTAATCTTGGCCCAAGTGGGTAAAAAGTTATTATATAATCTTATGTAAGAGGTATTACATATTCCAATTCATTTCCATTAATCCAAATTATTAATGTTGCCATATTCCATGGTAACCAAAAGCATCCTAGTGATGCAACAGCCACTGAAGTTGTATAAAATGAATTAGTTTCCCAATGGAAACACTCTTCAGAACTGCAGAAAATAATCTCCAAAGTCTAGCCAAGGGAACAACAACACATAGTAGTCAAAGACTTGTGATTACAGAGAATAAGCGTGAAATCCCCTGTTGTAAAATAGCTCAGGCTATACACTGGTTAGTTAGACATATACCAAGTTTCCAGTCTGGAATAATTTTAAAATTCAAGGGCTCAATTTTTTTTTCTGGTACTAGGGATTGAATTTACAGCCTTTGCATTGAGCTACATCCCCAGCATTCTTTTTTTTAAATTTTGAGACAAGGTTTCATAAAGTCACTAAATTGCCCAGATGGGGTTCAAATTTGTACTATGCCTCAGCCTCCCAAAGTTCTGGAAGATACCAAACTTAAGTTCACCTATCTTCATTAAATACAGTATTTCTGAAAATTATTTCCCAGTTTCAAAAACAACACCAAAATGTTCAACATAGATATGCAGAATATAATACAACTGATTTATCCTGTCTCGGTTAAGAATTGTCCAAGGCTTCCTAAATAACTTAAATTACCAAACAGTTACACAGAACTATTTGGTTTATGCTGACTCTTAAAAGCACTTGTATATTTTCATGGTTCTATTTTTGGAATCAAAACAATACTCTGTACTTGCTAAGTGTTTACTTGCAAAATAAATTCCAATGCACAGGTAAATGCAAGACAAAATATGGATTCCCCCACATACGAAGTACTACTGTTCCTGCATTATCATGAATATCCATAACTTCAAGCTAAAAGGAGTTGAAGTTCATATAGAATAACGATTACTAGAGTGTATGGGAGTGATGGGGGGAAAGGAGAATAAAGGGAGGCTGAATTTGAGCTGTGTTTGCTGTATGTATGGAAATATATTAAACCCCATTAATATGTACAATTAATGCATGTTAATGAAAATTAAAATTTAGAAAACCAGGAACCAAACCAAACAAATATAAATATAAAAATCAAGCAAAATACATACAAATGTAAAAGGGGGGGAAAAAAAGCCACCAGAGATGGGTTTAAAGATGCAATTACATCTGACCTTGCTTCATATACTTATAAAAAATATCCTTCCTATAATCATCCATATTTTCTAGAGAAAATGGTAACAACCATGGGTCTAGTTATGACTCTACAAGTAGCAACTGAAACAAATTTTAGTAGGAATGACATCTAAAAATGTAAAAAGTAATGATAAAATAATACCCATGGCTTTTAAACTAGAATAGTTTATCAAATAAAATATATTCAATATACACTCTCTCCTGGGAAAATAATCTAAAACATCTAGATTCCTTTAACATGGTTTAATATTAGAAGTTATTGTCCTATGCTTACCAATTTTACTCTGGAACATCTGAAACACCTAAAACAAGGTAATTACTGAGTATTCCATGTATCCTTTGTTGTCAAACTAACGCATAAACAATCTGAAGTTTCATCTCCCTCCACTGAACAACAAAAATGAGTGTGCTATAAATACCATGGATCTTATTAAGAGTTTTTCTTGTTTTCTTGCAACATGGTATATTTAATTTGGATAATTTTAGCAATGAAATATCAAAAATAGAATCTACAGAAAAATTTAAAAATGACTGCTTACCTTTTAAGTTTTCCAATACAGTTTTTTCATTAACATACAATGCTTTTACTCCTGTTATCAAGTCCACTGTGTTCTTTTCCTGCATTTCTTCAGCTGGTAGTTTTTCAAAAATGTTTTTGAACCAATTGGTATTATTTTTCAAGCAATCAGGCAGTTCCCAAAACAAAGCTGCTCCACATATATCAAATGTAATGGTACTTTGAGTATTATGTTTTCCACTACAAACTTTATTTTTCAGTTTCAAATTTCTAGAATGCCATTTGTTACTAGAATGTTTTTTCTTTAAGAGGAGTTGATAGACTTCTTTCTTCTTCAAAGCAGAAAGACTTCTTTCTTCTTCAAAGCTTTTTTTACCTTTTGTTTCTCGATACATGTACAATTCATATTTTCTTTTTTGTCATAATTTTGATTTAACAATGGGCAAATAGTCTTACTCTGTAACTTACATCAGATTTTAGTACATCCAGTAGCAGTAACTGCATCAAGATCAGCTGAATCTCTAGAATACACTGCAAGTCCAGATGCAACTAGTACATCTGCCAAATTCTTTTTCTCATGAATGACATCTACTTTCAGTTTTGTTTTGAAACCACATTCTCTAAACTGAAAAACTAAGCCTGGTTCGCTTAAAAAACCATTTTAAAAGCTTTTGACTTTTTCATTCCAGTGTTTCCCTGTAACAGGTAAAATGCCATGTAAGACACATGGATAACTTAACCTTGGCAAATACAAAAGTTCCTCAGGAACAACTTTAAGACTTTTTCCTACCTGAATAAGGTATACAGAAAGAAAACCCATAGTCAACCAACATAAGAAGCAAAGATCTAGCAGAGACTTCACAAATTTCTACTCTATTCCATTGATCTTCCATTTCACATTTGAACAAATAACTAGAAACAGGAATTATGAGTTCTTGAGGTAACATGTAAGGTTTCTGGCAGGTCAGAAAGCAAAACAAAAAGATACTTCATTGTGTTGAAAAAAATCTTCTAACTGAACACAGAAATTTGATGGATCAGAAACAGCGTGGCAAAAAAAAAAAAAAGAAAAAAGAAACAGCATGGCAGTACCACTATACTGCCCACCATTTTGAAGTTGTGTCCAAGTAAATGATCTTACTCCACATGATGACATAAAAGCCTGAGATTCCATACTGAAAATAATTTCTGAAGACTGAATTTTGCTCTCTTCAATCTGAACTGTATTTGGACTGAAATATTCCAAAAGTAGCATACCATCTATCAAAATATCTACTTCCCAAGCACAGTCTACATATTTCAGGGAAAGGATGCTTACTTCAAATGAGCAAGTAAATACACCATGGACTCAAAAGGCATGCTCTTAGAATTTTCAAACCAAATCCATTTACAAGGCACAGCTTGCGATTTCATTACAAAGTACCTTGGCATTAGTTAGAGACACTGTTTCATACTTACCATGATCTACTAAAAAAAAAGCACATTTTCACCAACACACTTTTTTTCTACTTTTGTTCAATACCACTTCAAAGTTTTGCTAGATTTTGCCAAACATTCTGTCTTCTTCAATATTTTAAACTGATGAAGATCTTTCTTCTTTAGTAAGAAATACAGTTAAATCTGATAAGATTTTTTTATTTTTAATAACTTCACATAGAATCTTCCACTCTTTGAAACACGAAGTACTTCAGCTTTTTCAAATTGTCCAGGTTTTAACTCTTCAAAGGGAATTTTAACCAGCTGTTGGTAGGAGGGTTGAATGATCGAAGACTCTTCACATGCATTTGATCTTCCTTTTATCATTTCATTATCTTCATCAAGGCTCACACTTTCAGAGACAACCCAAAGCATTCGCAATACTGTCTTCTGTGTTTTCCAATATGCTGTCTATTTACCAAGTTCATTGATGACATATTTTTCATCACAAATTAGGCTAACTCCCCATTTCTGGTCATGGTTTTTCAAAAACTCATAAGATACTATTTTTTTACTTACTATTGAGGCAAAATAACCCACAGTTTTGCTGTCCCATATTTCAGCAGGCTCATTCCATTTTACTCCACTGAGAAAAGAATGGATGCCCAGGTGAGGAATAGTTAAGAATTCTGTCTTAAGTTGATAAATTTTAGATCTGTTCACTATTGCAGTATTACCATAGTCAATAAATTCCACTTCAAAAGTATTTTCTGGCAAAATTTTCTTAAAAACTGCTCTGTAAATGGCACTATCACCAGAGTGCTCTGCAACTACAAGATCTCTCACCAAAACTTTACCCGAGCTTTGTTCTTTCACTCTATTTGCTCTTCCATTGAGAGCATCTGCAAGTCTGAAGATAACCTTTCCATTCTCAAGAAGCTGAATATGAAAACTTGCTGGATTACTGATATTGGATACATACCCTTTTATCTGGGCATTCGAGTAAATTTTGAGTTTAGAAAGATCTTTGATCTGTGGTCTAATTATGTTATGTAGATTCTGTGATACTGCTTGATTTAACTCTCTGAGAAATGACTGTGATACAACCTTTACTGGTTTTTGCCCCATATCATTTTCATTAAGAATATGTTCAGATCCATGAATAATTTTTAGACCTTTATTTTTAAGTCCATCATTTAACGACTTCACTTTGGTTTTAGACACTGGTTCAATTTTATAACAAACCAGTGGTTGCAGAAGCTTGGCATGTGCACTTCTGGGATGCATTAATTGGCCTATTTTGTTTTCAGAATACATTACTAGACTAGTTTTATTTATCATATTATGGGTATAGTTGTATTCTATTTTGCCTTTCTGAGAATCAGCATGCCTCTTATTCTTATTTATGACTCTTTTCTACATACTATCCTTGGTCAAAATGGTTTTTTCATAAAGCAACATTTTAATTTTCTGATTTACATGTTGACATCCATCATATAACTCAATACCAAGCTGGTCATCTGACTCCCTGGACAGTATCACTGCCTTTAGTGATTTTCCAAAAAACTGGTTTTTGAACCAGTTATTGATTTCTTCTGGAGTCTCTATATCTCTAAGATCTGACAAGAAACACTTAACAGCTTGCATAGGTGTAACTAGCAACTCTGGAAACTGATCTGAAATAGCCATCAATATATTTTCTTTCACTAATTGTTGATTTCCAAAGTCCACAAAATACACTAGAAATTCAGATGATGAACCTGTTGGTTTTGCTAATACTCTGTATGACAGACCATCCTCTACATACTTAGATATGCACAATCTCATTTTACTAGAATCATATTTTGGGTGATTTTTTAGGCTAATCATGTCTATGATTCTTGTTTTTAGCATCTCCAGATCTGTATTATTTCTACTAAGCTCACAATAAAACTTTTGGGGACTACATATGTGAGATATATATATATACTATTTCTTCACTTACAATTTTTATATTAAAGGAAGAGTAGTAGTAACTGTACAGACTAATTGAAGATGACAATAGATTTGATAATGTGCTACACTGCACAGACCCATAACTGATAAGGAACTCTTCTGCACTAGTAAATGAAGATTGAAAATCCACTAAATTATACAAACAGTTTGGCTGTATAAAAACTAGGGCATATATTATGCAAGTTACTAACCCTCTAGATGAAGAAATAAAACCTCCAAAGTCTCTGGATGCTTCTCTTGTCCAACAAAATAATTTACAACTAACTGGTTCAAATAAATGCTTAAGACAACATCTGAAGGCTTGGCCATCTAAAAAAAGAAAATAGCACAAAGATCTTTAATTAAAACTCGTTCTTGGGTAACCATAGTCCACAAATATTATGTCAACTTCTTTTTTTGATACTTGAGTCAAAACGGCAGCTCTATACCACTTCCCATCTTTGGAAGATTTAGCTATGCAAGCAATCTGCCCAAACTGGTAAGAATCAGAATGAATGCTATAATAACTCTGTATTTGTTCCATTATTAATTTTAGGTCTTCTGACTTACACTGGAGCTGGCATGAAAAGTCACCTGCACAGTAGTAATGAGAACATTTAACTTAAACAACTGTTCCTGGTTTAAATATAGGTTCTTTATAAGGCCTTGATGAATCATGACCCAAAGACAAAATGAAAAGATTTTTTTAAATCTAAGAAATTAACAGTTTGGGACTTACACAAAGATAAGTTATCTTCTTCCAACTTACTTGAAAGATACTTTTCAGGTTTAGGTCTTTCAAGAAGGGCAGATGTGACATTCTTAACAGTGACTTTCCTCTTAGACTTTAAATTTAACACTGAATATTCAGTTACAGATTCTGCAAAATGTTCTGGCTCTATTTCCCAATATTCTGCATATCCAGCTTCTGACATAAGAGACACAATATCAATATTGTCTGAGGCTTCAATATTCTGAATATTTACAATATACTTGTATTCTTTTTTCTTAAAACTTGAAGCAGAATTTCTTTCTTCAAAACAATTTTTTTAAAATAATCCACTGCTGCCTTTACCCGTACATCTTTAATAGGAATTATATGTGCAAGCGAACAGCACATGGCTAAAGCAGGCAATTCACAAAATCCTGGAAGCAAAATTTTCACATCAAAGAAAGGTATGGAATCAGTATTTCCATAATCTAAAAAATAAACATTAATCTTACCATCATTAATTTCAGTGATGAGAGCTCTGTAAAAGTACCTGTCCTTGCTGTATCTAGCACAACATAACATTCCAGGTTTAGGATTTCTTAGAATCAGTTCATCATTTTTACATGAATCATAACATTTGTTTATATTTTTCATTATATCTTGAAATTCATTCTCATGGTCATTAGTACATACCTGGAAATTTGATAGATTTAATACATATGATACAAAAGCTATATAGGCAGTCTTTACCTCCATTTCCACAGTTTTAACAGAACACCCTACTTTTAAAATATCATTCTTATTTAGACTGTCTACTGATTGTTTAATATTTTCAACAAAACTCTCAACTGCGAAGTTGTTTACATCATAAGCACCTGGCTCACTCAAGATGTTGGAGATTTTTGAACCAGACACTGGACAAAATATTTGTGTGCTTACAGTCTTTAGCAGACATTCAGAATTAACTATAGACTCTTGAGTCTGTAATGTCACATAATACAAATGTTCATCCTTATTGAACCTATTGATGTGTGAATATACTATTTGTCCTAACAAGACCTGTTTAAATACACTCAGTTGAAGTTTCCTTGCATTTCTGTCCGAACTATGTAAATATGTCAGGGAACATGGAAATGAAAATAATGGTACTAAACTAAAATCCTGTTTCAGTTTCTTTACAGGAATTGCGGGGATAGACTCACTACTGCCATAATCCATAAACCAAATTTTTACTTGATTACCGGGCAAGAGTTGCTGAGGAATTCCTCTATGCCACTCTCCATTTCTGCTTTTAGTAACACAAGGTAGTCTATAATTATCACAGTTGGGATTAGTTTCTTGACTAATAATATCATAATGTAAATTCATACATATTGTCAGGTTTTCTAGTTCTGGAATCCATTTAACCAACTGACAATAAAATTTACTTGGGCTCAATGCAGATGATATCCTTACACTTTCAAAACTTCCTACTGGTAAAGATGGCTGCAAATTATCCAAAATATGTTGAATGTCAAGTAAATTGTCATAATCACTTAATGACAATTCAGTTATTTTATGTTGTAATAAATCTGGCATTTGTTGACAGAATTCTTTTAACAGTTCCACAATAAGACAAAATGAATCTCCATCAATAAATCTTCCTAATTGTAATTCAAGAGTCCAGGATATAACTTGTGGTGCTTTGGGAAGAATCATTTACAGAGGCAAAATAGCCTGAACGTGACCTTTCAGTTGTATTCCTACTAAAGACTTGAATAATTTAAAGCCTTACAAGACCATTTTTCTCCAACTGGAAGAATGTTGGCAGAAATATCAAAAAGTACCCATGGTGGTAGATCAAATACAGTATCACAGGCTGAAGCAACCTGGGAACTAGCAACTGTTAATTCTTCTCCTTGATCTATAACGAGCACTGTATAGAGCTCATTTTTCTTTTCCATGATTCTTTCTCTCTGCCATCCAATTACTCCTTCTTCTACCAGACAAAACTCAAAGATGTCCAAATTATTTTTTATTTTTGGAACAGGTTGTATCTCTCTCTGCAATATGTAATAGTCAAACTCACATTCACCATTATTTCAGCCTTGAAATTTCACAAGAATATCATTGGAACAACATTCAATACATGATACTGTCAAATCTACATCTAGAAATGCGGGTAACAGAGATGCTGAATCCATTATCTAAAAAGCAAACAAGTACTAATCAGCATCTGGATAGCTGTCAAATTAAATACAATTATTCTTATATAAATTTGGTATGTAAACATAACCTTAGAAATAATTCTACACCTGTATTTTTACCAAAGTAAACATACTGAAAAACTTTATGCACTGGACAGAATGTTGGTGAGATAAAAATCTAACTGCTCATTGCCTTATGTACTTTTTAAAAACTTCACTGAAATAACAAGTAAATAAAGCAAAACATAGGAAGACTATGTAGCATCCCTGGAAAACATAGAAGAGACATCTTTATTTTCCAGAAACTTTTAACAAATTTCTACTAATATTAGACATGGCATAATAGAAGTTAGCCAAATAAGGTTCTCTGGAGAGTTCATCCTCCTCTTGTGAGAAAACCACGTTCTCTAATTCAGACTCCTTCCAATAACCCATAATTCAAAGCAGTGAGAGAGAGAAGCAAGAACAGATGGTAAACAAATAAGATACACTCCCTACACTTTGTCAATTAACAATAGTTGAACCCTGTCAGCACCAGTACGCACCCCCAGGATTGTTATATTATTGAGATAAATAGGCTGAGGCCTGGTAAGCACAGAATCACAATGAAGCAAATTGAGTATGTCCAGATCTTGACACTGGCATGGCTAGTTATAGAAAGGAAAAAAGAGGGGGGATCATCAGCATAGAAGCAGAGTTTTCTACCTTAGCTAACCTTTGGATTTGAGACATTCTAAAAACATCATACCATAGCAATGTATGTGCACCCATGTTTATAGCAGCACAATTTGTCATAGCTAAACCTTAGAAACAACCCAAATGTCCATCAACTGAGGAATGGATAAAAAAGTTGTAGTATTTCTATACAATGGAGTATTACTCAGCTATAAAAAAAGATAAACTTGAGGCTTTTATAGGTAAATGGATGCAACTAGAGACCATATTCATAAGTGAAATAAATCAGACCCATATGTGTAAACATCATATTATCTCCCTGGTGTAAGAACACGAAAGAGTAAATAAAACCCAAAATGTACAATAGATAATAAGAAAGGGGAAGAAATTGCTCAAAGGAAGGAAAAACTGGGATGAGGGAAAGAAGAAAAGGAAAGTACTAAGGCATATATATATATATATATATATACACATATACATATGTTATATATATATATGGATCAGTGGCATAACTGTATTGTTGATGTCTGATGGTTTGTTGAGGGGAACAGTTAATGATTAAAAGTTTTTTTTAAGTTCAATATTTTTACCAATTTTGCATGCTTGTATCTGGTAATCTGAGCAACGTATGTGACGACAACAATTTGCAATATAATATCCATTAGTGAATTCCTACAATCCTGCCTAGTGACACTGTGTATTGTCTCTAATGTTCTTTTAAATTATTATTTTCTTATTTCCTTTAATGATTTGATTAATCTTGTATTCTTACATCTGGTAATCTGAGCAACTTCGTTGAGGATAACAATATGTAATATAACAATCACTGTTAATTTCTATCATTTGGTTTGAAATCCTGTATCATTTTTAATGTCCTTGCTTTGTGTTGTTTGTATTTTGCTACTGTTCTTTTTTTGGTACTATTTTCTTTAAAATAATTTTTTTTAAAAAGTCAGAAAAAAAATAAAGGTGAAGCGAATATCCAAGAACAGTAAGACATTCCCTAAGCTTAGGCAAAAACCAACACCTACTGTGACAGAACACAGCTCAACCCTTTCTTGACAAAATTAACAGTTGACAGGAATCAATTTCCTTCTATCAGAATGCAAAAGAAAAACTGGACCTTTAAAAGTTAGGGGAGACACTTCAAATAAACCAGGAAGTGCTACTCCCAGAATAAATGTATTAGGAGAAACAGCAAAGAATTTTTTTCCAAAGCTCTGATTTCTAGTGTCAAAATGTAAAATGAGGATAATGCCATTTTTATACAACCAAATCTTCATGAAGCAACTAAGATTACAAAAATGTACAGGCTCGAAAAATTTAAAACTATGATGGGGAAAGTGAACCCAAAATAAATAGGAGAAAAATTTGACAGAATACATAAAAATTTAGAGGAAAATGAAAAACAGTTTAAAACAGAACATGTAGGACAAGAATGTAAAATCTTATCAAAGTATAAATGTTATCTCAGAAAAAGAACAAGCAACAGAACAGAAGCTCTTTCAATACCCAACTTTATAAATTTAAATAGAACACTGGAAACCTAGAAAAAGACATAAGTTTTATAGAAACCTGGATACTTACTATAGCATTTATCTCTTTCTAGGTAATTTATGTGGTGTCATAATCAGCATTGTCTGATCTATAGTAATTCCAGGCTATGCTTACTTGACTCTAGAATCTTTAAGAAGAAAATCAATACGTAATACACTGAAGATTTAAATTAGAATAAAGCAAAAGCTTAGGACACAAATGGCATTCTTAAGCCTTCAATATTTAAAGTCGCAGGGCTTCACACAATTCCCAGGCTTTAGCTTACATGTGTATAACTTCCTATATGAAGGAAAGATAGGTGCTCTTAACTCCCCATGATCAATGTAAAGGATACCCAGAAGTTTCTTTCTGATATTCACCTAAAAACTCCCACAACTACTCACTTGGGTAAATAAAAAAAGAAAAAGACAAAGTTTTCAGGAACCATGCCACCATTTTTTAGTGTAAAAAGTAAATGTACCAAGAAGATACCTGTATTAAACAGTGTAAGTCAATGAAAGCGCAAAGCACAGGTAATTATATGACCAGGTTACCCAAACTATCAAAAGCCTACTCCTCCGTACCACCATCCCTTCCTCAAATAATACAAATGGCCTTAGAAGGAGTTTCACATCAGAGGGGAAATAAACTCTGAACCTGGTTAATACATGGCTCTTATCTAATGCCATTAATATCTAGAAATAGACTGCTGAGTAATCACAGTACAACTCAAGGGAGGAATGAACAGAAATCTTCACAAATGAAAAACCTAGTATTTGCCTACTTTGCCTGAAGGAGAAATTGTTAAGAATTTATGCCTACTAATAGGCAATGGCTAATCATTTCTATAGAACAATAGGACTTTTGAGGATCAAGACTGGAGATGTATAACAAAGAAATGTAAAGAAATGGTTTGTGGATGAGCCTCTAAGAATTACACATAGAAAGAAAATTTTAGGTCCCATATGATATTCATCAAATAGGCCTATGATGGAAAAAATTCTTAATCAAGAGAATTAACCTTCTTAATCAAGAGAATTAACTCTTAATCAAGAGAATTAAACTTCTGGGTATCCTTTACATTGCTCGTGGGGAGTTAAGAGCACCTATCTTTCCTTCATATAGGAAGTTATGCACATGTAAACTAAAGCCTGGGAATTGGGTGAAGCCCTGTGACTTTAAATATTGAAGGATTAAGAATGCTATTTGTGTCCTAAGCTTTTGCTTTATTCTAATTCTGTAGATGTCATCAGTCTCCTTCACCTGCCTCTAAATGTCCTACCATTGTGCATCAAA